TGTATGTGTGTTGTTGTTGTGTGTGTGTGTGTGTGTGTGTGTGTTGTTGTTGTGTGTGTGTGTGTGTGTGTATGTGTGTGTGTGTGTGTGTGTGTGTGTATAAATATTTATATACACATAAAGTGTACGTATGTATTTATAGTACTATGCCATACTCTATGTGTATGTCGTACATATTATCAACCCATCATGGTATAGTCCTCTACAATCCCTCTGTCATTCTTGATTTGTGTCAATTAGCCCGTATCCTGCTGATAAACATCTACTCCGATTCTTCACCTCCACATACCCCACAGATGAGCGGCTTCGTGAGCTCCTTGCCAGGCGTGAGGTATGAGTGTGTGTGACTTGTCTTTGTAACTGTGTGCGTTGCAATTGATTGTAGGATCCGGTAGGAGGTTGTGTGAGTGTGTGCATCATCCTGGCGATTCAGCTTTGCACATACACCTACAAGCAAACGTCTATGCTAGTAGAATACACACACACTTGCATTCAACAAAACCACTTCATATCAGTATAGCCGTACATGTATATACCTGTTTTGTTTGGGTACACTCACATACCTGTATGTGTACATCTCTCGCGTCCGGTAGGTAGGCATAAGCCAGGTAGGCAAGTCCACATACACCTCCTCTCACCCACCCCTCTCCAACTGCCTCAGAAACGAAGAGAGCGCCGACCACTCGCTGCCTCGGCCGTGACAACAGTCAACACACCACACACACTCAGTGTCACGTCACTGCATCAGTCACAGCCACACATCGACACACATACACCCCACTCAACGGGAAGTGGGGTGCTACATACACACAGGCATGTGTCTGTGTCTGACTCGAGCCTGTCCACGACAGGCACTACCACCACCCCACCACCACCGCCACGGTGTGGAAGCCATCCTGCGACTACCATAGAGCCACGGGATGAACACATCGATTCACAGCCACACGCACGAACACCCACACTGACCCCATGCCACGAACAAGACCAGGACCAAGGCAAAGGCAAAGGCAAAAGCAAAGTGCAAGTGAATTCGAGGCCGTGTACGCCGCTGCTGCAGATGCCACGGAATGCACCACTGTCACAGTCACGTGGACGGTCACGCATTGCAGGGACACTCGCAGCGACACTGCGCAATACTCTGGCGCTGAGCTACTTCATCCAGGTAGGTAGATGGCAGGGGATGTGTGAGAGGGTTCTATTAATAGACGTGGTGTGTGAACCAATTGAATGAGGCCTTGTGACGCTGTTCGTGGTTGAGTGGCTGTCTGTGTGTTGTGAGTATTCTAATTATAGATGTACTGTACGCGCCGATACATTAAGACTTTTAGCTACACATTTAGTACAGGCAAACGACTACTGGTGCGTGGTAGGTGTTCTGGCAGGTAACTTTAGACCAAGCTTTGAGCTCCTTCTAATCCACAAGTACTAAATAGTTTAAGGAATAGTTGGTCAAGTACTAAATAGATTAAGGAATAGTTGGACAAGTACGAAATAGATTAAGGAATAGTTAGACAAGTACTAAATAGATTAAGGAATAGTCAGAGTGCTCTAGTCGGTATACTTTGCGAGCCAATCAGATACTTCGTTGAATGTGGGGTGTTTATTGTGTGCGCATGTTCGTGGTACTTTAACGTATCGTTTAAATGATGCAAGTGCATAGACAACGTGCAGACCCCTTACACCACATCGCTGGTGTGCTTCTCTTCTCATAAATTGGAAGTATCTGGTGTGCTTCTCTACTCATACATTGAAGTATCTGGTGTGCTTTTATTCTCATGCGTTGTAGTATCTGGAGACACAGAAGTACGCGATAGTGTTCATTCGATTCTGGCTCAACGCGCAAAGCTACGAAGCCTCGATGAAGGCTCTGAGCAACACAGAGGGGCCTAGCACACGCCCAGGGGGGTCTACAAATGGGCCGGTATTCGGTCCAGCAGATAGGACTAACCGAACTCTCAACCGAGAGCCAGATGGGGAAGTGTCCAAGGTACGGGTTCTACAGAATGATGCCATGAGTATATATAACGCCTACTTCTCTCTGCAGTCGTCTCAGTCGACCAAGTTCCTGCAGGGGTTGGTGTACCTGAGCGGATATGCAGACGATGTGTTTGCCGCAAAGACGCAGAGTGGCGGTACAGCGGGAGAAATGGGAGAGGGTGGACAGACCGATGTACGGGACAAAGAGGATGGCGGGCACCTAGTTGGGAAACAGGACCGGACAGGGCAGGACAGAACAGGGCAGGACAGGTTGGGGAGAAAAAGTGAGGAGTCCAAAACGGGTGAAAAAGTGATGCAAGATAGGACAGGTGCACAACGGACGGAGAGTACGGATGAGAGTGTATCAGGAGACTGGGTCAAGGTTGAGGTGCAACAACGAAAGCCACGCACACAGGACATCTCTGCCCTGAGACACCGCAATAAAGACAAATTCACAGACAAAGTCAAAGTCAAAGCCAAAGACAAAGCCAAAGACAAAGACAAAGACGCAGGCGGAAGGTCAGACAGCGATGACGGACGCGTATCCAGAGCATCTGCAACAAACCACACCCCGGCCAATGCGTCAGGGACGCACTACACACGGGGGAAAGTACATCGGCGGAGGTCTTCGGCTAGTACGAATGCGGCGAACAGTATCAGGAAAGAAGTCGAGGATAACATCTCGCAACCTACAGGGCCGGATAGAACCTGCTTCAAACACTCCAAGGTGTGGGTGTGGTGGAAGCTGAGTATGTGTGTAGAGATGCCATGGGATGTGTATGGCATCTGTCTCCAGTTTCCGTTGGTGGCGAGCCTTGTATTTAGTCATGTGCGAGCTTGTCTGTAGGCTTGAATCATATCACCTTGCTGTATCTTCCCATACGTTGCTTATATATATATATATATATATATATATGTGTGTGTGTGTGTGTGTGTGTGTGTGTGTGTGTGTGTGTGTGTGTGTGTGTGTGTGTGTGT